TGACGCAACAAATTTTGCATGAGTTGCTTTCTTTCCAACATAGAGCTCCAACATAGAGATAATAAACACAGTTTTGAAAATTTTACATTGTATTCACTGTTACTATGGTAATTATTAAAACAAAAAAATGTCCATAAGAATAACATTGGAACTTTGAAGACCCGTGGGGCGGAGCCCTAAGGTGAATTCCAAAAATCCAAGTAGCCTATAACCTTCTCACGCATGTATAGAACAAAGAAAAAAAGTTTCATCGAAATCAGTGCACCCGTTTCCCTGTGAAAAACGAACAAAATCACGTCCAAAACCGCACCAAAGCAGGTTTTTGAGCGGCCGCAATTTTCTTGCCAAAAGGCATATGACAGTTTCAAGTAGCCTATAACCTTCTTACACATCTATAAAACAAAGAAAAAAGTTTCATCGAAAACGGTGCACTCGTTTTCCCGTGAAAAGCGAACAAAAACACGTCCGCGAGCGTTACCGACAGACAGACAGAAATTGAGATAAGGCTTGTTTCGGCTTCTTTGGTGTGTGAAACGTGAAGATATGCAAAAAGTACACTATTCTAAGCAATGTACAGACAATACTCTTATTTTATTTATATAGATGGAAAGCTCAGAATGTCTCCTTAGTGGTTTTCTCAGCCTCTGCAAGGTAACTCTTTCTTTTCGTGCTAGGTCCGAAGCGGTAAGACATTAGTGAGCTCGAAAAATCATTTTTTTTTACCCAAATACAGCTTAGTTACCAAGTTTGATAACTTATAGTGGAATTCTGTGGTACTGATGTAGTAATTTATGATTTTTGTTATTTTAAAATGACATAAATAAAACCCCAAAAATTTATATTGTTTTGCACCCTTCATGTACGAAATTTGATAAGGCTTAGCAACTTACAACAAGCAGCAAACGAATACAAAGTTCGTAACTGAAATTTAAGAACTTATTTATGAGTAGTAATAATGTATATACATATATAATATATTATAACCGAAATATGACTGTATTGTACAGTATGCTTGTCCACTAGAACATAGCCAAAACAGGTCACTTTGTAAACACCAGTTTTATATATTTGGATACGGTAGCATGAGTGCACGTGCACCGCGTCATAGAACTTTAATGTCAGTTAGGCACGGCTAAAAATTCAATATAATAAAAATAAATTTATATCAATTTATAATGTTATGATATTTAAAATATTTAGACTAAGCATTTATGTTATTGTGTTATAATCTGTAGTAATTCTAGAACGAAAAAAGCATAATCTATATCTACTTACTTTTTCCTTTGCCCCCCAGTGGCACAACGGTATGTCTGCGGACTTACAACTCTATAATTAGGGTTTCGATACCCGTGGTGGGCAGAGCACAGATAGCTCATTGTGTAGCTTTGTGCTTAATTATAAACAAACCTACTTTTTTATGGTGGTTACGAGGTCAAATCAAATCTACCAAGCCCGTACAGAGATACAATAGGGAAAATAACAGATAAAATACGAAGTTTTTCAAAAAAAAAGTTTGATAATTATCTGGAGGTTATAAATTTTCTGATGCACGAAAGTATTTTTAGTATTAAAAACAAAATTACTTTTCATTTTGGATAAACATTCAAAAAGAAAAAAATGCATGAGAAAAACATTACTTAAAAAAATCTTAAACTTAATAAAAAATCTGATATTTTGCTTAAGAAAGCATTGTAATGCTTATTGATAATCTGAAAAATTTCGTGAAAATATGTTTAGTTATATGAAAAAAGTTATAGCATAAACTATAACAAGCACAAAATGGTTACGAAGTCGGTCCTTGGGACAGAGCCCGCAATGAAAGAGCTAGTCTGCAATACACTTCTTTGTAGCCCAAAGGCTGTCTCCTGAGCATTGCCACGTATATTCCACCTAGATGCGAGTCTAGAATGGTGTTATATAACTCTGCATTGGCAGGACCGATCTGGCCGACTTGCATGTTATTGATCTCGTCATCTTGGATAAATATACCCAAAATGCTTTTGTACTCATCAGAAATGGAGCTGAATAATGTGTGCAGTCTAAAATTATGTGAATGAAATTCAAAGTCCAATCTGTCAACTTTAGGTGGAACGTAATTAAAAAATAAAGCATATGCTTTATTCCAACTGTAGTAATCTTTTCACTGATCTGGACAGTTCTGTCAACATAGTTTGATCGAGACTTGGATTGAAAAAAAAAAAACGCTCCAGGATTTTAGAGATGGCCTGTACTCGGGACAAACGTCGAATTTGTGAAAGTTTGAGTAATTTATATTGAAATGTTTTAAGCTACTTCCTGAATAAGTTTGAACAGATGTTGTTGCTTGCTACTTCGTGCAAAATAACAACACGTATTTACAAAGCAATTCCAACCATGAAGGAAGATGCTTGTTCGCATGGTTGTGGCGTATAGATCCTATGTTAAAACACCAGGAATGCCATCCTTCAGGCGAGCTTAGAAGCCAGCATTTGTCCCCATCATTGTTGAGCAACTATCACTTCGGATTCAAATTATATTGTTAAGAGGAATTGATTTTCATCAAAGAGTTCTCAATTGACAGCAATGTACAGGCCCACAGCATAACCAACTTCCATTTCAATGGCCGTCAATAAGGCGTCTGTTACTTTCCTATTTCTTACCATGAAAGCAAGCATTTTGGAGACGGAAACGACACTCTTTTCCCAAGAGTTATCATCAATTACGATGATTTGATTCTTTTCATCTTAATATTTTAGGCAGTTTTATTGTAACATTCTTGTCATCAGTTCAGTCACATGGCCGACCTAAAGGAATGGCTTTCTGTGCTCAGCCATGAATCCAAATAGCAAAACTTCAACTTTCATGGTCATTTCCTAGGTATCCGGTCCTGTCCGTTTGTTAAAATGCATGCTGATGTGCAAAATCTTTTGTTTAACTCTGAACGCACTAGCGTACATATACGTTTAATAAAGTCGACCTGTTAGCAGTCTTTAACTTACAGTTACACATCTTGCAACTGTCAATATATTTATTGTTTAAGTGGCTTGCGAACCAGCCCTTTAAGTCTGGGTCTTTTAGCTAAACAGTATTGAGGATCTGTTTAATACCACTTGGCATTTTTTTTTTTATGAACGGTTGGCTTCTGGAGCAGTATCACTGCAATCGACAGTATCATCGAAATTACAAATCTCTGACAACGAATGGAACATGAATATTAACGATTTGAAAGAACTTCAATGAAAAATAATTTTCAATGTTCGCTTTCGCCCTTCAAAGTTAGGAGAAGGAACGGCTTGAGGAGTGTGACATAAAAACATTTTATTCTTATTGGTTATTTAAAGTACGTTACTTTATTCGCATGGCAGAAAATAAAGGTTAGAATTTTATCTATCAGCATTTTTTTTTTTACTTTAAGGTATTTTCTTGAAGGTAAATGACTTATAACGTGGAGAATATAAGTAACAATGTTCAATTTATTATAAATTTTACATCTTTTAAAAGCAAGTTATTTAATAGGAACATTTAACACTATAATGGTTAGAGACGGCTTGAATGGGTAATGAAGAAAAACTTTAATATAAGTTTAACATAACAGTAAATGTACAACGTTTCGACAAGGTTTTGTCATCATCAGATACAAGTAATTTACACTGACACGGATATATATTTGCTTGTTTGTTTATAATTAAGCACAAAGCTACACAATGGGCTATCTGTGCTCTGCCCACCACAGGTATCGAAACCCGAATTATAGCGTTGTAAGTCTGCAGACATACAGCTGTGCCACTGTGGGGGGGGGGCACGGATATATATATATATACAGTATTGAACAAAGAAGTCACATGACCGGAACTGTTGCAAAACTTAGAAGAGGTATCTAGGCACCCTGGGGTGTCAGTTTAGTGTAGGGTTGTTTTGTTCAATTAAGATGGATTACTTGATTTTTCATTTGTTTATGTTGGGTTCTTTGTTTAAAATGACTGTTTTTAATAGATATA